GAGGAATGAATAAAACATATGATGCGGTACGTTATGCTATATTTAAAAAGGACTATTAATTAAATAAAGTTTTATTTATAGATTAAAGACAAATATTCTTGGGTACCCGAAGACTTGGTGAAAAAATTTTGCGCTTCTTGTACTCGGTGTACAACACGACGATCATTAGCTCAACCAGTAGCTGCGAAGCCTATTTTGGCAAAAGGCTTTATGTGTCGCTTGCAAGTGGACTTGATTGATATGCATAGTCGACCAGATGGTCCTTATAAGTATATTTGCCATGCTCGTGATCATTTTTCAAAGTTTTCTTGGTCTTCTGCTCTTCCTTCTAAAGAAGCCAAAGAAGTGGCAGGTTTCCTTTTTGAACTTTTCACTAAATTCGGGCCCCCAAACATCTTGCAAACTGATAATGGAAAAGAATTTACGGCGAAAATCATCAGAAATTTAACAGATCTTTGGCCAACTATTCGTATTATAAATGGACGTCCAAGACATCCACAATCTCAAGGTTTAATCGAACGTGCCAATGATGTCCTTCAACAAAAACTTTCAAAATGGATGGAAGATAAAGGAACTAATAACTGGGCGAGTGGACTTTGTTGGGTGACATGTTAAGTGTATTATTTTTTATTAAATTATTTAATTTTCAAATAATTGCTAATTTATCTTTCTTAGATGCAATGAACATGGAAGTCTCTTCGGTTACAGGCTTTCCACCATATCAAATAGTGTTTGGCAGAAAACCTCGTGCTAATTATTTCCTTCTCGAGTCTCTTTTTGAGCAATCAATTATACACGAAGAAGACCTTCCCGAAGATTTCAATATGGAATCGGATGAATCTCGAAATCAACATAGACAAAATACAGAAAACTCTGATAACCAGCAGCAGCAACCAGAAAACATGGAAAACCAAGCAGCGGAACACCAGCGGCAACAGGCAACGGAACACCAGCGGCAACAGGTAACGGAGCATCAGCGGCAACAGGCAACGGAACATCAGCGGCAACAGGTAGCGGAACACCAGCGGCAACGGGCAGCAGAAAATCGGCGGCGAAAAGCAACGGAAAACCAGCAGCAACAAGCGGCGGAAAATCTGTGGCAACAGGCAGAAAATCTGTGGCAACAAGCAG